GAAAATTGGGTGTGGGGCTGGAGTTGGGCCACACGTTGCGGCCTCTTTTCTCCTGTGCCCTGGGAGGGGGCAGGAGAAGGATGAGATCAGAGAAATACTCCCTAGTCTGGGTTGACACAGTTCCACGTTGGTGCTGCTACCCCGTTAGTGCATGTCTTAGTGTATGTCTTGCTTCATGAGTTCATTCTCAGCAGTTTTGCAAGGATGCTCAGCAGCGGACATGGGGGGGTCTTTTGTACCCCGTGGTATAAGCCTAAACAAAGAGAAAGTGGTGACTGTTCTTGTTTCAGAAGCTCTTTGGAGGCATCTTTGCAAAGTTTGCTGAAGGTCAGGAGAGGCCTCTGGGGTCTCTGCTGATTCCAGCCTCCCCGAGCCCTCCTTGTGTCCTATCATGTCATCACTGACTGTATCACTGCACAAGAGAAGAATCTGCCTCTCCTCTGCTTCTAACCTTGTAGGAGACACAAAAAGTCTCCAGTTTCAAATGCAGAGGTGACCAAAGCTACTTTGTGGTAAGGAACAGGTTCTGAGGGCTCTGACAAGGGGTACATGGGAGAGGTGGGAATGGCTCAGCAGATGGATACAAGTTGTGGAGACGGGACTAGATGAGACATCGAAGAAGGAAAGCTGTGAGTTGGTGGAGCAGTTGGAATGAGGAGAATGCTGATGTGGATCTGAAGCCGGACCCGCATATAGGGAGAAAACTCTAAGTCTGTGGTGGTGAAAATTGTAGCTTGGATGTCAAGGCTGAGTGAGGGAGTGGAACCCACAGCCTGAAACTTGTAGCTTCAATGTTGCAGGGTGTGTGCAAGCGTGTTCTAGACAACACCCAGTTTGTCACAGTTAGGATTTTTTTTTTTTTCGCGTTTTTTGATTGCCTTTAATGTTCTTCGTCAACTGAAGTAGAATAAAACTTTCCATTCCTAAAGAAGTAAAGTTCAGCACTGTACTGATGTGTATATTTAAGTGGCTGCCATGGCTGGATTTTGATGCTGCCAGATAGACAGTGATTTATTCTGTAAGTTTTGTGCCTTAAGCTTTCAGAAAAGCTCTTCTTTTCATCCTGAAGCCCGGCAGAAGTCTAGCAGTAATAATTAGCAAGCCATAAAAATCGACCTGATTTGTGGGAAGCACTGAAGGATGCAAAGAGACATTTCTGTTCAAGGAGGTAGGAACAAAAGTGCATGGTTACTGACCCAGTCATGTCAGACCTAAATTTTGAGGGAATCCCAAGTGATAAGTGTTCTGCAGTCTGAATACTGCCTATTCATTCAGTTCTTCTAGCAGAGTGAATGAATCATCCTTTCAACCAGAGACAGTCCCTCTGGGTCAGAGTCGAGGTCAGTGGTGGGGCATGAGTTTCAGACTGCTTGCCCTAAATGAGGAAGGAAACATAACATACAAGACTTTGCTTACAGTGCTGCAGCTTCGAGCATCTCCTTTGTAAGGCATTCACTTTTAGCATCTCATGAGACCTCTTGTAAGCGCCGCTCTGGATGCATGACCAGGTCCCTCTGTCTTCCTGCCTGCTCCTGTGCTTCTCACCGTCGCCCTTACTCCCAAACGATTCTCCCAGCTGATCTTCCTGCTTCTGCACCCCAAAAAATCATTATCTCAATGTCATCGGGCCATGTCTGTAATTTTTAGCTTGTGGAGGGCACGTTGACTCCGCAGAACAGGTTGCAAGTGAGTGGGCTCTTCATGTGGGCAGCCAGCCAGGCCGCAAGCAGCAGGCCGTGGGCTGCAGGGCTCGGGTTGGCTGCATCAGCAGAGGGTAGGGAAGAACACGCGTCTGGAGTGGAGTGTCGTGTTCCCCTTAGAAACTTGTGAGAGCAGCAGAGCTGTTGATTTGCTGGAGCCTAGCGCTGTAATAGGTGCTCTTCATTTACAGTACAATCCAGTCTATATCATACAAAGATTTTTCGTTTGTAGTATGTTTAATGCTCTGTGTCTTTCTGTGGAGAGCTTGATTGTCTGTCTTCTCTCATCTTCTCCATGTTGGACATGCTTTTGCAGACCTCTGTCCCGTTCACCTCTTTCCCAGGATCAAGAGTCAGAGCCTGTTTAGTTATTCCATGCACTGAAGTTGCTCCAGATCTTTGATCATCCTTCTTGGGTTCTCTGTACCTTTTCCAGGTCTGCTATATTTCATTTGTGATTAATGCTTAGAGCTTTCAGGCCTCCTAAAATCAGTATTAATGCTGCTACAAGACACTGCAAAAGAAAAGATCCAGAGGAATTAAAGTGCTGTGAACTATCGTAGATCACAGATGCCTCCTGAGCAACATCAGAAGTACCCAAAGTACACAAATGAGCGCATGAATTTCCTGTGTCTATCAGCAGTCTGCATGTCTGATATTCTGCTTCTTGCATCTTGGTGCTCTTTAAAAGGGCAGTTGTAACCTGGGTCCGTGGAAGAGCTACCTCACAGATAGGTTACTGCTTTGTCCATAAAGAGACCCTGAGGATGTTTTCTGCATGTCCTGCCTATATTGCAAAGGACATGTTGATCGGGATCCTCATAGGCCTGTAGGCACCCAGATGTGTTGGAAATTAGTGGGTCTGTGTCATCAAGCGGAGACTCTGTGCCGTGATAAGAGGCTGATGGTGTGACTGCCGCTCTGTGGAGCTGCTTTCCTCTCTGCATGGAGCAGGCTGCGGTAGCCACTCCTTGCTGCATGGGTCTAGACCACATGGTTTGATCAAAGATGGCAAATCCTAGATCTTCTCCTTCCCACTGTCTGTGTCTCTATATTAAAAGAACACATATTCAGCCCCATGGGTTTCTTTCTTTTTTTCCAGGCTTTTTTCTTCAGTTACTGAATTTGTTCATCAATCACATCCTATTATTCTTGACAGGCATGTCTTTTTTCATCCAATACAACTACCTTAGTTGGATGAAGATGAAGAAACCCTCAGTTGTACTGGATGAACAACCTCATCCCTGGCCCTGGGCTTGCCTCTTCCCTCCCACCAAACCTATTTATTTCCCCTCTTGTTCCTGGAGAACCTCACTGACTTTCCATGTATGTGTCAGCCGCTCTGACATGGGAGAAAAGAGGTGGCAGCAGAACAAGCAACTGCTGTGATTTCAGGTTCCCTCCCTGTCTGCTTGGTCCTCCCTGCCCTCCTACCCCCCTGCTCCAGTGCCTGGAGCAGATCTGCTTTATGGCTCTCCTTTTGCAGATGGTAGGTCTGGGTGAGTGAAGATTTGGCAAGGAAAAGCTATCTCCTGATAAAATTATATCCCAAATGTTTTGATTTTACTGTCTAGAGCTTTTATGAGCACAAAAGACTTCTAGGTAGTGTCCTACCCAAGTAAGTAGTAGGTTGAGGTTTTTGCTTTGTGTTTTTGGTCTCAGTATACAGTTTTGAAACATAGAAGCAGGTATCTTAACATGTGTGGACCATGTATTTTAAGGCATGCAAACCTGCGTGTATGTGTAGGTAAAAGAAAGTCCTTTGTATGTAATTTGTTATTTGGGTAATTATCTGAAGGAATTAAATAATCCTACTGCTTTTGCCGGACTAGATTTCATGGTGCAACGATGTCTGCTCAGATAGTCCCTAGAAAAGACAACTCCAGCACTCGCTAACCCATGCCAAGTTTGTTCTAAGTCTAGAAGCAAGCTACTTAGCAAATAACCTCATTCACTTACAGTTTTCCAACCCTCTGTCCTCTTATTTGTGTTTATTTATTCATTTATGGTTAGGTATTTTGGGCTGCAGTTAAAAGCATCAGCTTTTCTTGGCTGTATTGGGTTACTGGGCCTTTGCCTGTCAGGTTTTCTGATCGCAAAACTGAGAATCAAAGGTACTTAGGTCAGTCTGGGTGGAGGGGCCTCCAAACAAGCTCTCGGCTCCCTCATGCTCTTTTTCAGCATGCGTAAGCACCGCGTCTGGTGGACGGTAAGATGTTGGCACTTCCCCGTGTCTGGGGGTCTGACATAGCGCAGTGAGGCTAAAAGCACTCAGCAAAAGGGTGATTTGCTGCCTTCGGCCTGGGCAGGGAATGGTTCCTTTCACGGGGGCAAGAGTTTTTGCCCAAAGACTTTGGAGCAGCACAGGGCCTTGAGGATGTTCTCCTGTTATCTCTTCCATACTTCTTGTCAGGATCCCTGTATTCCTTACATGTATTGCATGATCTGTATATATCTCTCAAAGACTGCATCTGAGTATTTCCAAAGATTTTATGTTAGCAGCTATGGATTTAGGTTGGGAAGTTAGGCAAGAGCTCTGAAAAACCCCAAATGCAGACATGTTAGTAGAGGCAGTACGTAAAACAAAACAAAACACTCATTGAGTAATGTTTAGCTCATGTGAAAATGTGTCATGTTTAATGAGATCTCGGTGAGACCGAAAGAAGGAGGGAATATGAAATGAGTTCATGTTTGTGCAGAAGAGGGAAAACCCCCTGAGCTGTTCACAGGCGCCTCTGCCGAGCAGCCCGCTTTGCTGTGCCCGTGTTCAGCACAGCTCCTCTGACCACAGCAGGAACTTAGACCTGTCCTGCGTGGAGAATATTAAAGTAATGTCTTGGCATAGTTAATTACATTCCTTATTGCTAATTTGAGCTGTCATCCAGCATCAAGGCCTTTGAGAAATGATACACAGCTTCAGATCAATGTGTCTTAACAAAGTTGATGTGTTTGTGGGGGGAAAACACAGCAAATTTGCGATCTAACCTTTCTGTGGGCTTTAAGGCTCCTGAATTTAGAACTTGATGAACGATCAGGTAAGGTTAACTCTGAAGGTGCTTACAAAAGGGCTTGGACTGGGAGTTTGACCGCACGAGGCTGTGCCCTGCAGACTTGGATAGAGAGCTGAATTTTACTCACAGGGAGCTCTAATAAGTAGTAAAGTTCTCTCCCTAAACAGTGTGGGGTTTCCTTGAAATAAGGCACATGTTCTTATTGGGTACAGATCTCTTCCACAGTGATTTCTCCTGTGTAGCGCACAGGGTGTTTTGCAAGCTCTGTGCTGTTTCCTCCATGAAGAATTTCTCCTCCAGCTCAACTGTGATGTTGTTAGGGATGTCAAACTTTCATCTTGCCAAGGATTGAAGGGACTGTGGGGTAAGAGAGAAATGGGCAAACCCCAGCTTTTTTATTGGAGACATGCTTCCCTGGTGCTTCCTATTCCCCTAAAAATATATATCTCTCTAAATAAAAGGAGATTTGTATTCGTAGTAAGTGGGGGGAAATTATTTATTTACTCTGGTAGTGAAACACCCTCTAAAATGCAAATAAGGAGTAAGGCATTGAAACAAGTGTTTATTTCAGTAGGACTTTAATATACAGTTGAAAATCTCCATTTATTCATACTGTGAAAGAGCCAAAGTGTACCCTGTAGGAAGTTTTAATTTTCCATTAGACTATGCTGTGGCTTTTGAAAGCAAGGAGCTTGGGGAAGAACCTGCTCAAAGGTGCTAAAACGTTTTTATGAGGCGAGTTTGTTTCATTCCCGAGCAGCGCAGCGAGGGGAGGCAGTTGGCGGGATTCCTCCAAACGTGAGCTCAGAGATCCCATGATGAGTCTGTCCTCTCTGATGGCACTGACATGACCATGGGCTACCTGCACGCAGCACTTGTAGCTGGTGGTGGTGCTTTGTGGTGTTTCTCCTGTCCTCGGTACCTCATATGTTGAGGGTAAAACAGCCAGCATGGCCACGACTGCTATTTGGGTCTTTTTGCTGCCCAGGACTGCGTGAGGGCCGTCCCGGGAGCAGCTGGTGCCGGCTGCCGAGATGCGGAGCCCTGTGTTTCGGTTTGCAACCTGTTTTCTCCACGCCCGGGGAGGGCTCACGATGCCCATGTGGAATTGGGCTCTGCGGAAAAGCCAGTGGCGTGTGCCTGACCCAGAGGGGCTCCCCTGGGAGCGCGCTCTTCCTTAGAGCTGCTTTCCCTGAGTCTCCTGGAAACCAGAGGCTCCTCTGAGAAATCTGGGAGGCTCCTGGCAGCCAGGAGAGACTCGCGCCTTCCCGGCGGCTCCTGCAGCGCATCCGCGGCTCCAAAAGGCACGGACGGAGGCAGAGCTCAGGTAGGAGGCCACCTCCATTTCTGCTCACGAGACGAGCTCTCACCACCCCTCATCTTAACGGGCTGCTTAAAATTGCTGAAGGCTCTGAAGGATTGCGCGCGTTTTAAGCCGGAGAGGCTGCTCTTCCTTGGTGTTTGCTCCTTTCCTGGCTGATGTTGTGTCTTTAATGCTGCTGCCGCCCTTAGCAGGGACTGAATGTATTGGTGATAATTTTTGCCGTGTTTCACACTGCGGAGATCAGGTATGGTTGTCATGGCGCTGTTGTTATGGCTACCGCCTCCTTCCCCAGCCGAAGGCCTCTCCTCTCTGCCGCAGGGAGTGATGGATGCGTGTGTGTGTGTGCGGGAGCGATGGGGGAACGCTGGGTGGAAAACACCGTGTTGCGGACAGCAGCCGTTGGTCCAAGAGGGAATGGTGTCGCAGTGGGAATGGGTAGCAGAGGTTTGCCCATTTTTAAAACGTCGAACAGAACCCTAAGCAAGATGTTTTTGAAGGCAGAAGCTGCTGCTTCTAGCATGTCACAACCGAGAGAGAGAGCTGCGCCCAGTGTCAGATTTTGGGAGTCTGAGTGTATTTCTGAAGTTCCCGTGCACAGGGATGAGGCAACCCCTGGCTACCGTGACAGGACGTGTCTGCGCAGCAGTGCACCCCGTGGCACATCGGATCGATGGTGCTCGACTCTCCAGGTGCCTGGAGAAATTAGTAAATTTGCCAGCTCAAAGATTCCTCCTCATATATTGTTCCTAAATTCTTGCAGCCAAGTGGACTTGCTTACCATCAGCACAGACGCGAGCAGATCTGACTTCTGCTCCCAGGAAGGAGCAAGGGCACAAGAGCGCAGCATCTTGTAGATATGCTCCTTATTCACTGCACAAAAGACCCGTTCTTCATTTTTCCCCTTCTGTGCGTTCCCAGAGATGTAAAAGAGATGGAGCAGGATGAAGCTCGTGCGGTTGTGTTAGCGTTGGCCAGCACGTCTCCAATCTGTTGTAGCGAGGTATGCCAGAGTCCGGGAGCCCAGCCTGATGCTCATGAATATCTCATGTCACATTGTGCTGCTACGTGTAGGCCCTCACGTGCCTTGGTACGGAGCAGTGAGGCCTTCCGCAGAAGTTCTCCCTCCTCAAAGTGAAGGTGTTTCGTGATTTTTCAGCCATCTTAGAATCCGAGGTACAGTCAAAAGAATGAGTCAGAAGGTATTTCCTCAAAAATAGGTAACTGTTTACCATGTAGGAATAACAAAGCCTTTATAACCCCTCCAAACCTTAGTACACATGTGAGCGGATGAGCACTACTTGTGTTTTTAACAGAGGGGAGGTTGTATTTAAAAGAACATCTTTTTTTTTGCACTAACTAGAAGGATTTAGCTGCAAACTGGTAGCGGATAAGGAAGAAATTTATGGTGTTTGCTATAAATTGCCAGAGAAATCTTTGTCCTACGTTACAGAGAGTGGCCCATGATGAGATGCATAGTTCTGTCTAATAATACACTGTATTGCTAGAACTGTGGTACTGAGGTGTTTTGAATGGTGTATTTTGTTAGTCATCTAGTATCTCATGGACCATGACCAACCATTTTAAATAAGATAGAAGCTAACATAATTCCTGTCAGATGCCATTAAGCTCTCCCTGTATTTCTGGTATGTTTGTGGTGATTCTTTTTGATCAGTGTGATGCAGACCATTCACATCTAAAAAAAATGAAATTACTTGGAGAGAAGATCCATGTCAGAGTGAAATGAAAGGGTAAAGTGCGTCTGCAAAGCTCTTCATGTGTTTGTTGCATCTGAAATGAGCTGTCTTATTTTCTAATGTTTGGAGATTCCTTCTGAGACAGCCACCAGTAGGATTTGTGTGCAGTGTATGAGAGGTGACAGGAGATGATTGGAAATGGTCCATCCAGATTTTCCATCTTCTGTCTCCTGACTCTTGCGTTTATTCCTGCCTCTTGATACCAGCCCACTTGCTTTGACTCTTGTAAGCATAAGTGTCGGTAAGTCAAGAAGCTGAATGTCCAATTCTCTTGAGACCTTTTCACCCACAGTGCCTGATGCTTCGTATTCAGACCCATCATCACAATTATTGGTACACAGGCATGAACTAAAGCTTTGTTTTCTGTGTTACTAGTCAGCATGGGTTAGATCACTCCCTACAAAGGTGTACAGGACCCAAGGGGCAGCTTTAGGAGGCTGTTAAGATCGTCCTGCAAGATGAACTTGCAGAACATGCTGCGACTGTTTTGTGTGTTGGGTTCAGAGCGCCCAGGCTTGATTCAAGCCATGGCAGCAAGAGCAGGTGTCGCATAGGGGAGCATATGGGTTAAGAAATGTATATCCAGCGCCTGTGAAAGGAGGCGGTAACTGCCAAGTCGGCCTGTGCGTCCCCCATGCGACTTGTCTGTCTGTGCTAATTCCAAGTTATTTAAACATTTCCTGTCTCTGTGCAGCTCCTAAATGTCTGAAAAAGATGGGCAGTTAGTTTTTACTGAGTATCCAGGGGTACTGATGGGTTGAGCCTCAGTCCCCATGAACTGGGCCAGGGGCAAGGCTGCCCCGTGACTAACTCACAGTGTTTCTCCTTGAGTTATAAACTGCGAGAGCACTTGATAAGAGAGTCAAGAGTGAATTCATCCATGTTTTGCTCTGTAACCATCTATTATAAATGCCGAGCCAAATCCTGCCTTCAAATACACACAGCCCTCATTGAAGCCTGCCCACTGTATTTATTTTTAAGGATAAAAGCACTTCTGTTCCTTGCACAGAGGCCTTGTGTGGCACTGCCCTTTGTGTGGATGTGAATCTCCTTCCTCAGGAGCCTGGTGGGAAGGAGGGGGCGTCTGCGCCGGCACCCAAGGGCCCTTCGTGGATACCAGCCCGGCTCTCCTGGTGCCCCCCGAGCTGCTCCCTCCGGGCCGGCCCAATCCCCCGGCAGGGGTGCGGACAGGCAGGCGGGCACTGCATCATTTTGAGTCATGTTTTTATTGCGAATGAAACTTAATGTTCATGATTCGCTGTGACTTTTTGATTTAAAGTAAAAGTAACTCTGAAAGGCATTATCATTACATAATATTAGTATCTGATCAGAAGGAAGAGGGGTGTATTATAGATTGTGAATAATTATTAGACAAATGCAGCTTTTTGTCATGTCTAGAGGCTTCTTGCATACTGATCTTGTTGCCTGGAATAGGCGTACTGTATTTGTGTTTTTATTAAATAACAGAAGAATATGTGTGATCCCCAGTTTTCAGCCTTCTTTTATAGTCCCTCAGCCTCTCCCATACGTAGCGACTGTGTTCTTTGATTTGTTTCTTTTAGGTGTTTTTTATTGTTTAATTTTATTTACAGGGGAAAAAATGTGGCATTCAGAAAAGTCCTGCTGGTTTTCACTTCCATGCAGCTAGCTTAAATCAAGCCATTTTTTCCCCCCTGCCAAGATTCTTATCATCAAAACATAGATTACAAGGTATTGTTTTACCAAGCTTGCAAACGGAGGGAGTTTTGTGTGAGGCATCGCCAAAGCCCGTGGCTTCTCCAGTGGCTTCTTTTCCTGGCTTGGACGAGTAAGAGCTTATTAACAGGAGTAGAAGACATGTGAAGTAGCAAACAGTGATTAGTTCTGTTTATGTATAAATACCAATAGTCATAAGAGAATGCAAGTGCTTGTGTGAAGAACAACTGTTCCCCATGGGTTGTTTTTGGACAAAAGGGGATGAGAGTAAATGTTCACAAAATAGCAAGTAAGAAGGGATATAAACAGGGTCAAATAGCACATATGTTCAGGAACCTAGTGTATGTTTTTAGATGTTGTTGCTCTTGTGGTTAGCAGATTGCAAACTCGCAGAGGACGGATCGTCTTTTCATTCTGCACCCTGTGCACGACAGGCCTGGTTCAGGACTGACCCTGCTGTTTGCAGCTGCACGGAAGGATTTGGGATACCTGCTTCACTTACTGAAGCAATTTTTGCATTCTGTCCTTTTATCACCCCTGGAGGATGTCAGTATGAAGACTGATTCACTTCTTATTTAGCGGATCTACATTTAACTGCCATTGATGAGTTAAAATCTGGTTAATAAAGGGCAACCTTCAGGAAACTAGTGTTAATAATTTCAAGGCACACAGGCATCGTGCACGATTTGACCCATAATTTTTCCTAGCTGTGGTTCGATTTGGTTTTAAAGCATCTTGCTCGTGCCTGGGACAGGCGAGCAGAGACACTTTGCTGTTTAAACCTTCTCCCACGTGTAGGTGGAGGTGCCCGGCACTGTGTGGGTGCCGCGAGCCAGGAACGCTGGCGCCTGCCCGCGCTCACCTCCCTGCTCGTGTCGTTACAGGGCCTGCGGTGAAGGAGAGGAGACATGGCGGAGGAGAGAAAAGACGAAGCCAAGTCACCGCATTGGGCGTCGAGCCCGCTCCCCGAGGCTTCTTCGCACCCGCACTCCCCTGAGCTCAAGGAGCAAGGCGGGGCGGGTGCCGGGCTCGTCCGAAGCGCCAATGGGTTTCCCTACCGCGAGGACGAGGAGCCAGGGCTGGCGGCGCGGGAGCAGCAGGACACCTACTCTCGATCCAAAGAGAACGGCATCAACGGGGAGCTCTCGGCAGGGGACAGGGAGACTGCAGGTAACGCACTCGGCCTCGCCAGCGCCTGGCCTCGAAGCACGTGTCTCTGCAGACCACTGGGTTGTGTTTCCCTTTGGAAACACAACCTTTGTTGTGTTTCCCTTTGTTTCCCTTTGGCTCCTTTGGTGGCCTGCCAGGACACAGGGCAGTGCTGACAGGAGCAGGCGAGCTGCATGTGCAGCTCTGGAGAGCACTAGCTCTTCGTGGCAAGGGACACGTTTTCCTGCAGGCCTCACCCTGATTCAGGCTTCTGGAGCATGCTCTGAGCAAACCTTCGGAAATGTGTGTTGGTGGTGTGGGGAGGCTTCACCTCCCTGGGGTCAGGAGAAACACGATGGTGCAGAGGAGCTGGTCACCTACTTGGGACTGGGAGGAGGAGGTGGGAAACCACGTTCAGTTGCTGTGTACGGAGAGTTCCTTTCTCTTCTTGTGTTTGTGTGTGTGAAGGCCAAATTCTGCTTGTATTTCTCACAATAATAATGCCTTCTTGAAACCCAGCAGTTTTTTGCAGAATAATATGCTGCTTGGTCTGACCTAGGATGCCGCGATTCAGCGTCAGCGCTTACTTGCCATTGCCTAGGCTCATTTCACTGTGTGAACTCACTGGGGTTTTGTCTGTTTGTAAACTACACTAGCATTTTAGGAATTGGCTCATTTAGGGAAAAAAAAAGAGAAGTGCAATTGTGTCAGAATGAGATATGCAAAACAAGTTTCCTGATTTAGACGTAAATGCTTATTTTCTGTGTACAGACTTCCCACTTCAAATCCCAAATGCACAGTACAGGAGGAATTTCTCTTGTACAGACAATACTGCCCTTGATGCATCCATCCATGCATGCTAAGGAGATCCTTCTAGCAATGTTTGTTGGCTGTTGACAACACTTTGAGATGCTATCCATAATTTCTCAGCAGCTAGAGAACTTTAAGTCTCTCAGACCCTAAAGTGATTTTGTAAGGGATTGTACTAGAAATTGATACATTTGCTAAAATAAATAGATTTAGATTTTAAGACTTTCTTCTTGTGGATAGCCAAAACATGAAAGAGAAAGGTAAGGGAAATCTTTTTGAGTATTCTGGTGAATTCATTTTTGATGATTATTTGGAGGAGGATGACAAGATGTTTTCTTTGCTGTAACCTAACTGCATCCTGTGCTTAGCCAGCCAGCCAGCGTGAACAGTGGTACAGCATGCAGGGGTAGGATGCCGTTCTTAGGTGTGGGCTTGGGAAAAACTAGGTTCATTTCTCTTCTTTTTCACAGATTTTTCACATGCTCTTGGGCAAGCCTGCTCAGGTTTAAGCAAAGCGTCAGCAGGGGCAGGAGCCTCATGCTGCCCATGGGCTGACGTTGCAGCATCTGCCTTCAGGCTGCCCGTGAGGCAGGCGTGTGGGCAGCAGAGCAGATGAACCGGGGCCGCGTGCCCAGGAGAGGCCTGGGCCTGGGGCAGCGCCTGGCCTAGGGAGCGAGGGAGCACTTGGGCTGTGTGAGGCTAGTCCAGTCAGCATTTCGTGGCCTCCTTCCCTCCGCCTTTCTGTTCTTCACACTGCTTGCTTAGACTGCAGATTGTCTGGTGCAGGGTCTGTCAGTACCACACGCTTACTGTTAGGGGGACTTCTCTGGCTTGTTCCGTGCCATCCTAGTCCATGCCTGAACATCAGGAAGGTTTGTGAAGCCGCTTCCCTTGTACGCCATACTGTAGTTCTCCAGAAATTCACATCCAGCCCCTGAACTCCGACTTCACAGGAGCATCATCCTGGGGCTGCAGCCGGAGCCCTGGCGCACCACGTAGTGCCCTGCGGAGGGAGACGGTGCCAAGGACTTACCCCAGCGCAGGGGCGGCTCCTGGCCAGGCCTCATGTCTGTGAGAGTTTCCATCTTGCCTCTTTTGTGATGCACCTCTGCGCCTCCTGGCCCGGGGCTGGCAGTAAGTGAAAATGCTTGTGAATCGCCCAATTTCATCCTAGTTAAACTATACCTAATTCATGCTTTTTAATTTAACGTGAGATACCTTGGAATACTTAAGATATTCCCCCTCTTTTTTTTTGGAAGGCCACCAGGAAGAATTTGTCAGTAAGTGACTGTGGTGACGGGGCCTGCATTGCCAGGGTTACACTGGGGTGTGCTCAGTGCATCATGAGGCAGGAAGTTCGGAGGTGGATTTGGGATGTTCGATTCAGACTTTGATCTTGAAATCAGGCTTGCCATTTACCTCCACCTTCAGGTGTCTGTGCCGTGTTGAATTGTACGTTGCAACAGCAGCGCGTGTTGTGTCCAGAAGGGCTTTTTGGTAGGATGCATGGGAAGTCAAGGTCAACTGAGATAATCGAGGCAAACTGTGGTTTCAAGTGGATTTACAGGGTTTTTAGTTTCACTAGTGCAAGTCCAGCACCATAAACTAGGAAAATCTGTGGCTTTTCTGTCTCCATGTCAAAGGCTTCAAATCCACAGCAACACAAGCTCAGTGGAAGTGAAGCGCTAATACAAACAGGCCCTTTTCTGTGGCCTGGTCCCTTGTGACGAGTGTTCAGTTGTGCTGTGAGGCACTTAGCCCAAGTAAGCACTTCACCGACCAGGAGCTGGGGTTTCTTCACTAAATGGGTCATCCCGGGGGAGAGGAATTCTGCAGCAGGAGAATATCCCCTGGGTCACCCATTTGCAAGGCTCATTTGAAGACTGAGTGTTAAGGGAAAGGTTAGCGTCAGACCGGCGGCACCCTATGCCAGCGCTGAGGCAAGGGGTGGAAACGAGGGAGGAAATAGCAGCTCTTGCCAAAACGCATCCAATCCGTCACTGCAAGTGACAGTTCTAGGTTTGCACAGTTAAAATTTGCCTTCCTGTATATATGCGTGTGCCTCTCTCTCTTGGCGTCTGCCTAAGAGTTATTGAGTCTGACCTCAATTTTGGACTCCTCTGAATCTGGCCGTTGTGCTGCCGAAGATTGATCCGTCTCCGTATCGCGCCGGTAATGGCTGCATTATGGAGGCAACGTCAATGGCCTCCTTTCACACGGCGCGTCGGGAACGCGGGAGAGCGCGCGGCGCCGGGGCCCGCGCCGCCTCAGGGCCTCGTCCGACAGCTGCGCGCCTCCGAGGCAAATATGTGCGGGGCACATATGCGTTTGGGAGTAAAATGCTAGCTGGATGCGGTGTAAGGGAGGGTCGTATAACAGCTGTCCCATTATTTACATAAATGTAAGCATAAAAATGTAAAGCTGTGTGTTTTCATATATATCAGTGTGGATAAATGAGCTCAGCACCCTCAGCCTCAGAGCCACCGCGCTGTAATGTGCTCTTGCTGCTCTTACTTGTGCTTTTTCTTCCTCATGCACACGCACAAAGAGCTTCTCCAGTGAATAAACTGGAATTATTAAGCGCGGAGGCTCAGATCTGTAGCTCTTGTCAAGGCAAACATTTTCATGTCATGCGAGATGGATGCTGTAAAGGAGGCGTGTTAGTGTAATCTTCAGAAACTCACTCTGAAGTGGGCTGATGTGGAACGCTTCGGATTGGACCCCCCCACAAAGCACAGGATGTATTTGACTTGCACTGAAATGTGAGACTGGCAGCTTTTTATTTGCTTACGGAAACCCCTGGTCAGCTCACTGGAAGGAAGCGCTGGAGAACCATAGAGAAACCCTACAGCATCTCTGGATACTAGCACTTCACACAGTCCATCGTGTTTGACATGCAAGGAACTTCAAATTACAAAGGTTTGTTTTTCTCCACTTAAAATGCATTTTCTTTTTTCAGTTATGTAATGACTAACTTGTCAAATGTATATAATTAGGGGTAAGAGTAGCTAGATGTATTGCAAAGCATCTTCCACAGTATGTCTCTCTGTACAGTGACTCAGCTGACTGAGTGCTTTCTTCATTAAACGCCAACTGCAGGGTTAGAATTGAGGGAGGGTTGGGTTAGCCACACCATTATTTAATTGAATATTTTTTGACAGATTAAGGGAAGGCATCTCTTGAAATCCTGTTACCGGAGCCTCAGGACGGTGAGTCCGTCCTCGTGTCAGTCGGTGTTAAAGACAGTAATATGTCCTGCCAGAGTGACAAACAGGGCCCTTCATTAGTTGGCAGAGTTTGCAAACCATCTGTGATGTGAAGAGACTGCCAAAAAACTGCAGCAGATTGTGGCACGGTGCGAAGGACCACAGGTTGAGCAGCACCCCAGTGTCTTTCAGGGTCTTTTAATCACAGGAAAGGTGGATGAGGGGCCATGACCAGTAATTCTGGTGGCTATGAGATGCCAGAGGCTGCTCTGTGATAATCTGCAGGTGAAGCAGGAAGAGGAGGGAGCCATAGACCTGTGGAGATGAAAACATAGCAGTATTGAGCTGAGGGAGTAGCAAAGGCGGGGAACGGACCCAGCGTATGGAGAGTCAGGAGAGACGTGCAGGGTGCCCAAGAGACGTGAGGGAGACCAAGCAGGGGCAGGAAGCAGTATGGAAAGGGGAAAAAATTGGAGATAAGGTAGGGCAGTAGGGAGAGATTCAGAGTTATCTGTTCATCCTGAGCTGACACATCTTTTGCATGATGACAGATATTAAAGCAGATTGAGGAAGGGAGTCAGCCAACAGGGAACAGCACAATCCCCAGGGAATTGTGAGGCGCCGAGGAGAAAGACAGGAAGGGGCAATCCATGCTGCAGCCCTGAATGCATCTTATCCAATTCAGCCATTTGTTATAGGCTCTGTTCAGCCTGACTAAATGGTCACCTGCAGCAGGTCTCTGCGTGCTGTCACGTCCGCCAAGCCTTCAGCAAGGTGCATGTCCCTAGTCACAGACCAAAGGCAAGTGAAAACGGGTGGGAGGATGCAAAATCAGAGACATTCAAAGAAAAATGAGATTCCTGTGTTTGCTCAGTTTCTGGGTTTGATTGCACAAAGCTGGGAGAATGCGCCTCACTGTGTCCCTTAGGAAAGGAGCAGATAATGAGGCATTTTCTCCCTCCCTTTCCCCCGCAAGCGTGATAGCAATTACTGCACACCAGCATC